CATATAAATATACTCGTTCTTCTCTCCACATGGGCCTTTCACCGCGCCCAAGGTCTTGGTGCCCGTCTGCAGGCAGCTGCCCAGCTCACGCAGCGCCCGATACGTCTGGTGGATCTCGTTGCGCACCTCCAGACATTTCGCGGAGCGCTGAGCGCTGAAACGGGTGGCTCCATAGGTATTCCCATGAAGCTTCTTCCCTTGTGTTAAAGGGTTCCCTTTAAAATGTACCCTGTCTCCCACTAACATGATACCCGACAAAGGGCCCCTTGAGGAAGTTGACCTTCCAAACAACTGCTACAGGTACTATCATAGGAAACCGTCCTTTGAGGGCAAATAAATGGGTTTCCCTGGTAGATGATTAAACCACCAGGTAAACCAGGGAAACCCATTTATTTTCTACCAAAACAGCCAAAAAGGACAATTATGGCACGGTGGCTCCCTTTTTGCGCCCAGCGTCGTATGTCGTCCTCTTCCCCGATGCCCCCCCAACCAACTGCTTCATTTAACAGGCAAGTCCTCTAACAGGAAGAGCGGCTTATTTTTGGGAAGTTCGAGGCCGTTTTAGACTGATGGAGCAAATCCTTGGTGAACCCCCTAAGCCTCAAGCCCGGCTCCTATACCTCCAATTTACGTACATGTCTGTACCTCCTGTACATCTCCCTCATCTCATGCCCTCATCCCCACAGGAGACCATGGAACTGTTTGATCTTTGATTCAGAAGCCGTGTCCAAAGCTCTGCTGCGTTTTCATTTTTGGCGCCTCAGATCCCAACTGAAAGTTGGGATCTAGACTGCAAATTTGTTTGTCCAACCGCGGCTCCTCAGATTCCTCCAAAAGTGTACGTGGAGTCCAAGGTCCCCCCCTCCCCCCTTCCCCCCGTCCCCCCAAGGCGTCCAAGAACCCAAGGTCTAACTTAGATCTTCAGTCCCGCTCAGGTCAAGATCCAACCTGGCCACAGCCCCTGGCGACATGGAAGCGCCGTCGCCAAATACTTTGCTCACATGACGTTGGGGGCCGAATAAAACATCTACGGCGAAGACAAGGACAACCACTAGCTCGGTTTGCTACGAGTAGGCTGGAACCCAACACTCGAAAAGTTCGGATCCATCGACTGGAAGGGAGGCAGTCAGAAAACCAAAGGCCCAACCGGCTTCTAAAGAACCCTTCCGAGGGGTTCTCAGTTAGGTCCCATAAGCCTCACACCCAGACCGATGCATGACCTCTGACAAAGTGGTGTATTCTGAATGGTTGATATGGTTGATATGTGTGTGCGTGTCTTTGGCGTGGGCAAGAAATCGTCCCCGACGCAGATCCGCCTTCTTCACAGAGACGTAGAGCGAGATGGGGTCCTGGCGGTCAAAGGGTGGGTCCCACAGAAAAGTTTTGTTGAGTGGTACATGGGGGACTCTGGTGGGTTCCATGTTAGTGTCTGGAAGGGTACCAAGGCAGCGAAGCCACGCCAAATGACCTGTCGGAGCCATGCGCGAAGGTCCAAAGCAAGGCCCATGTGCCTCACAGGCGTCAAGGTCTTCCGGGGAGAAGAGGCAGTACTTCTGGCGATCCATGGCCATTCGGACCTGGTGGTAGTAGATGATGTACCTGCCATGGGGTCCCAAGCGAGTGAGTCTAAAAAGCCCCCCCCCCAACACGTGGAAGGCGGCACATCTTGTAGAACATCGTCTTCTGCTCCCGAGGCACCCATTTCCACTCCTGACAGCCGTGCACTGCACCTCGCCGGTTCGCCATTACTCCTGAAAAACCATTCCTCTCTCCACACCCCAGCTTTCTCTGGGTTGCATTCTGACCAAAGATCACACCGAGGTTCCACGTCCCCGCATGGGGATCAAGCTTATTTAATCAGACTCCTCGGCGGTTTCGAACCCGCCCCCAAAGGCTGGGCTTTTGGGGTGACTCAAAGCCTAGAAAACCATTTGCGGGGTAAACCAAACCTAGCCACATCGACCCCGAATGTTCAAATGACGGACCAAAACATGGTACAACCCAAAACATGGGACGACCCCTCGGCAAATTCTATCATCATTCCAAAGCCTTAAAATCAAGGGACGCCCAAGCAAACGATGTTTCTGATGGCGAGCTCCTTTGAGTTTAAGGTGAGGCTCACTTTTTGGATAAGGCAAATCCACGTCCGATTTCTCTCCGCGTCCTCCATCTTTCGCAGCAGGCGCCGGTAGATCCACTCCGCCTCCACCTGCAAGTTCTCCGTCATCTTCACCAGCTGCACCAGGCTGTCCTGGAGGCACATGGGCACAGCTAGACCTCCAAGGCCCAAAAGTACGGGACCCGCTTTCTTCGGTGGCAACAAGCAAACTCTTCATGGTGGGGGGATCTTTCAACAAAAGCCAACGGGAAACTAGTCAGTTTAGAGTGGCATGAAGATTGGGTCAGAATAGACAGCAGTCTGTGGTCCATCTGGGACTTTGGGGGGGGGGGGGCACATGGGGGGTCATGACAAAAAGAGAACTCTTTAGTCGTCCGTGCCCAGCAGGGTAACAGCCAGTTTGAGGGTGTTTCTTCAACTGTGGCGTTCCTCTTTGTTTCCGTTAGATAGCAGCAACAAGCAGGGCTCCCAAAATGTCCCCTTGAAGCATCACCAAAACAAGTGTGGATCAACTGGTATGACAGTATAACAACTTGGCCATGCTTTGTGAGGCCACTCTTTGCAGCTTGGTTTAAAGGGAAGCCAAATAGGAAAGGTCCCCTCTGGCGTCCCGACCCATACACACAGCACCGAGCCACCGAGCCCCTCCAGTCGCGCGAGCGCGCGCCGGTCCTCCGCCAGGTCCTCGTTCAAGGGATGCAGTCGCCACTGCAGATCCCGCGCCTCGCAGCAGTAGCCCGCCTCGCCGCAGCGGCGGAAGACCGCCTCGGGCGCACCGGTTCCGAGGCTCCCAAGCGGATCCCCTTGGCTCAGCGGCGCTGGCGCCAGGTTTTGGGCCGCTTCCAAGATGTCCGCTGGCAAACAAAAACGGCAAAATCCGGCAAGGTGAATTCATTCATCGGGGTGCTAGTGTGGCAGCATGGATGGCCCCCAGTATCGACCAGGGTGTTGACCATCCAGAGTTACGCTTGGTTTCGCGCAGAAATGAGAGCCCGCAAGGAAGGAAGAACACAGTACATGTCACTGGCGAGTGATGATCTTCTTGCAACCTAAAAAAAAAGTATGTAGTCTACTTGGAACAAACTTATAGACCGTAGTGTTCAATTTGCGACCCGCACTGAAGCGGCTGATGCCATGTAATGCTTGTAGCCCTTCTTGTATCCCGAACTAGTGGGACACCATGCCTCTTTCTAGATATATGCAAGCAGTATGTGGCCAACAGCTTTGGAGTACACCACCACAGCAGCCCTTGTTGTTCTTCCGCCTTTTCCTTCTTGCTATTACTGTTCGTCGTGATCTTCATCTTCTAACTCCTTGGTTGTTCTTCCTTTGTCTCCTTATTTCTGCCCTTGTTCTTGTCCGGGCGTTTGCTCTTCTGCTTCTTCTTACTCTCATTGTTTGTCATTAATTGTATCATGATCATTGTCCTTATTGCTATTGCTCTTGTTGTTGCTCTTGCTCTTGCTCCTTGGCCTTCGACTGCATTTCAGGGGACTCCATTGGGGCTACTTGTAACCCATAGCCCAAAATGGACAAGACCCGTGCCTCACGCATGCCGGGCGGCCACAAACTGCTGTTGCTGCTGCGTCTGGTTGTTGCAGCTCCTAGTCGCCGCCTGGTACATCATCAGCGGGTTGCGTGGCAGCTCCTCAGTCAGGCGGTGCTTTCTTGGGGGGGTCCCTACGTTGGGAACGCGTTGGAAGGTCCGATTTCTCCTGTGACAGGCCGCCCCTGCAAACCCCTGCAGTAGCATGGTTCTAGCTACCAAGGAGTAGCGTTGGGCGTTAGGACTATTGCAAAGATGGGTGGAGGTGTCCCTTGTGTTTTGAAGGGAACCCAAAAGGGCGCACACCCAAATAGAGCAGCTGGCAAAAGAAGTCAAAGGTCCGCTTCAATTCGGGGTATGAGCCAGGTCGAGGGCAGCATGGTATTCCGAACAGCCTCCACCAGGTGGCTGGCAAAAGGGGCGAACCAACACATTACTTCTGGGCCCCAAGTTGAGAATGCTGCGACCCAGCTCAAACTTGGCGTACAGAAGTAGATTGCCTTGACCGGTTCAAAGCAACTTGGGAGCTGTCATATTTCCTGCTTTGCTTTGACTGGCCGGACCAGCCACAGCGCCGCACCTGTGTGCTGAACCTATCAAAGACTCAGACCAACTTGTATAAGGGAGGTCCCGCACGCTCCCAGCAAACCAACTGTTGTAACACCGACCCAAGAAACGTTACTTCTAAAGCATGACCCAACCCAACTATTTTTTTGGTGGTCCCTGAAAGTTCTACGAATTCCTTCCAGACCCTTCAACATGGACTCCCTACATGACACCGGTTGAAGAAAAGCTTTGGCTGGGATTGCCTGCAATTTTGGGAACCAACTAACCAAAACTCCACAGCTCAGGTCCAATCTCCGGGCAGTGGTCGCATTGCCTCTGAGTGTCCGCCACCCACCCCACCCCTCACTCCCGCGCCACCGCTCCTCCTCTTTTGCTACCTCCACCAGCTTTCCCTTAGTTAGCAGTTGCTCCATGGGAAGCGGGCAGCATGCCCCGTGCTGGGAGCTCACGTTCGCCTGGCGTAAGCCGTCAGCGCGGCTGCGATCCAACAACTCACACGATCGAGGGCAGTCATCTTTACCGTGGTTACCCCCCGGGTTAGCTCGCCATAAATTATGCGAATGACATGCATGTGCATTTGAAATCCATCAATTGACATAACAGGTCATGGATTCTCTCATCGGAAATACGCACTTGGAGGACACCCTCGGGAAATGACCCAAATAGTCCCCAACAACAAGGTATCTGGACACAGTGGGGTTGCAGGAAACAACCGTTTCTTCAAAGGACATGATTGCGCGCCCTGCTGTGCGTGCCCCATATGTGTGTATGTATCGTTCTATTTATACATATGTATTTCGATTTTTAGCTTGCGTTTAACCGTTTGAACCATGCTGCAGCGCGGCAGCAAGCAAAACAAGGTAGTGAGGCAGCAGAAAGGCAGGGACAAGCCAGGAGCAAGGCACGGGCAAGCCAGAAGCAAGGCAGGAGCACGTTGGGGAAAATGCTGCAAAAAGACGAACCAAACATGGTTGAGGCCCCAAACGAGGCCCAAACGAGGTTTAAACGAGGCTTAAACGAAGTTCAAACGAGGTCCAAAAGCAGCCAAAAGCCCCGGTGGCCCAACCGACAGGTCCCTAAGCACATTTACTGACCTGGGAATCTAAACAATGCAAATGCACGCGAAACAATGCAAACGCATCTGTCAAGCTGCTCTGAAAAAAAAAGCTATTCAAAGAAGGGGTGTGTTCTGCTTATAATTTTGATTGGCTTACTGGTTGTTGTTTTGGTTGTTGCTGCTGCTTTTGCTTGCGGGCTGGCTCTGAAAGGACTTGAGAAAAAACATGCTAAACGCAACCTAAATTCAAGAATCGATACGACCCCCCTACAATGCTTTCCCCAATGGCAGGGAGACAGTCAAGCCAAATTGATGCGACTAGCCTACTTCACTGTATATGCATATCTTCTAATATACACAGTACATCCTCTGTTAGGACAGTGCCGCCAATCTAGATGGAACACATGAGAAAACCCGAAAGGATTGTTTCTCCCCCACCCGAGAGATGCCTAAAACTAGGTCTGATGCCCCTTGCCAGGGCCTAGGGAAGCCAAAAGACAGAGCCAGTGTGGCATTAGAAACATCCCGGCTGACTAATCACTGATAACTGAGTCACTTGGGAGAAGCACCCACCGTGTGGGTCTCTGCGACTTTTTGCGTGTGTGTGTGTGTGTGTGTGTGCGCGTGTGTCTGTCTGTCTTTGTGTGCGTGTGCGTGTGCGTGTGCGTGTGCGTGTGCGTGTGCGTGTGCGTGTGCGTGTGCGTGTGCGTGTGCGTGTGCGTGTGCGTGTGCGTGTGCGTGTGCGTGTGCGTGTGCGTGTGCGTGTGCGTGTGCGTGTGCGTGTGCGTGTGCGTGTGCGTGTGCGTGTGCGTGTGCGTGTGCGCGTGCGTGTGCGCGTGCGTGTGCGTGTGCGTGTGCGTGTGCGTGTGCGTGTGCGTGTGCGTGTGCGTGTGCGTGTGCGTGTGCGTGTGCGTGTGCGCATAGCAAGCGCCAAGCGCGCGCAGGAGCGCGCTCGCGAGCGCGCTAGCCGGCGTGCGCGTTGCGTGGCGTTGGCGTTGGCGTTGGCGTTGGCGTGCGCGGTCGCGCGTGCGCGTCGCGTGCGCGTGCGCGTGCGCGTGCGCGTGCGCGTGCGGTGCGCGTGCGCAGTGCGCGTGCGCTGCGCGCGCGTGGCGTGCGGGTGCGGGTGCGGGTGCGGGTGCGGGTGCGGGTGCGGGTGCGGGTGCCGGTGCCGGTGCGGGTGCGCGCGCGCGTGCGGGTGCGTGTGCGTGTGCGTGTGCGTGTGCGTGTGCGTGTGCGTGTGCGTGTGCGTGTGCGTGTGCGTGTGCGTGTGCGGGTGCGTGTGCGTGTGCGTGTGCGTGTGCGTGTGCGTGTGCGTGTGCGTGTGCGTGTGCGTGTGCGTGTGCGTGTGCGTGTGCGTGTGCGTGTGCGTGTGCGTTTGCGTGTGCGTGTGCGTGTGCGTGTGCGTGTGCGTGTGCGTGTGCGTGTGCGTGTGCGTGTGCGTGTGCGTGTGCGTGTGCGTGTGCGTGTGCGTGTGCGTGTGCGTGTGCGTGTGCGTGTGCGTGTGCGTGTGCGCGTAGGTGCGTGTGCGCGTAGGTGCGTGTGCGCGTAGGTGCGTGTGCGCGTAGGTGCGCGTGCGCGTAGGTGCGCGTGCGCGTAGGTGCGCGTGCGCGTAGGTGCGCGTGCGCGTAGGTGCGCGTGCGCGTAGGTGCGCGTGCGCGTAGGTGCGCGTGCGCGTGCGCGTGCGCGTGTGCGTGCGCGTGCGCGTGTGCGTGTGCGTGTGCGTGTGCGTGTGCGTGTGCGTGTGCGTGTGCGTGTGCGTGTGCGTGTGCGTGTGCCTGTGCGTGTGCGTGCGCGTGCGCGTGCGCGTGCGCGTGCGCGTGCGCGTGCGCGTGCGC